CTAGCCCTTACAACTCAAAAATGAGTTAACTCCTGTGTGATGTCTTCTCAGCTCTCAAAAGGCAAGGTCACATGAAAGTAACATTTCTTAAAAGAGAGATTCCTTCCCAGTGCCTGGGGGAGAAGAGGCGGTAACTTGCTTTCACTGTGTGTTTGCCACAGAGTCCAACCCTCAGGCAGTGAGAAATGAGGATGGAGAAGACTGTGCCCTGCTCTGAGAGGACAACCATATCCAACAAACAGTCTTGCTTTCTCTTTTGCAACTTTAAAGTCCTTTTGAGTTCTAATATCGTGGTATTTAGGATGATTTCTAAGTCCGTTGTTTTTGTTAGTTGCCCTCAAGTCTACTCCAACTCACGGCGACCCATTTGTGCAAAGAACTGCTCCATAGGGTTTTCAAGGTCGTGACCTTTTAGAAGTGGATTGCCAGGACTATCTTCTGAAGCATCTCTGGGTTAGTTGAAACCACCAACCTTCTGGCTAGTAGTCAAGTGCTTAACTGTTTAAGCCACCCAGGGACTCCTTATGACCACCAAGGAGATAATTAAACGTAGCTACCAAATACCAGTAACCAAAGCACAAAGGAAACCAAGAGATAAAACGTTTTTATGCCAGTATTTACTATTTTCCTTTAATAAAAAACTATCTTCAATCCTATAGAACATTTTCACAATGCTCCTTTTTGTAAAGAAGAAAATTGTTACTGCAACTAAATATGGAGTACCACAAATACATAAAAACATATGTATATTTGTTTTCAAATTCCCACTAATATAAAAAGAGATATAAAATGACTATCCAAATTTAGGGAAAAAAATTTCTCATTTCTCAAGTATATTAAATTGGGAAAGGCAATCCAATTTGTAAACTCAATTACATACCTAAGTAATTTTTATAGATAAAAATAATTCCAGAATTCAAAGATCAAAGAAAATATTTAATAACACTGGAGAAATTCCAGTGCACTTAAGAAATTTTCAATGTGCTTTAATTGCATGTTGAGGAAAAGAATGTGCTGTATTCTGTTTCTGACAAATGACAAAATATGACTTCATATTAATAGTTAGAAGTGTAAGTAAATCCTACAAGCACATTCCATCCTACAAATTAGTTTGTGCTCATAATAGTGTAAAATCAGAGTTAAAAGAGATAAATTTTTTTGTTCCTCCTAAAAAAGAACCCAGAATCCTCTTTACTGGGAATCTGGCATCAAAATGAAATGAGCATGACAAATCTGTCTAGATTTCTCTATTGCTTTTTTAAAAAATATTTTATTGTGTTTTAGGTGAAAAGTTTACACAGCAAATTAGGTTCCCACTAACAATTTTTATACAAATTGTTCCATGACATTGGTTACAATTTTCACAATGTGTCAGCATTCTCATTATTTCCATTCTGTTTGTTTTGTTTCCATTGATCTAGCTTCCCTGGCCCTCCTTGCCTTTTTATCTTTGCTGTTGGGTAAATGCTGACCATTTGGTCTCATACAGTTGATTGTTTAAGGGAGCACATTACTCATGGCTGATACTGTTTATAAGCCAATCTATTATTTGGCTGAAAGGTGACCTCTGGGAGTGGCTTTAGTTTGAAGTTCAAAGAGTATCTTAGGGTAACAGTTTCAGGGGTTCCTCTAATTTCTACCAGTTCAGTAAGTCTGGCCTTTTTAGGAATCTGAATTTTGTTCTACTTTTTCTCCCATTCTATCTGGGACCTCCCATTGGTCCCTACTCAGAATAGTCGGTAGTGGTAGCTGGGCACCATCTAGTTCTTCTGGTCTCAGGCCAGAAGAGGTCGTGGTTCATATGGGCTATTAGTCCTGTGGACTAGTTTCTTCTTTGAGTCTTTGGCTTCCTTCATTCTGTTTTGCTCCAGATGAGCAGAGATCAACAGTTGTATACAGACGGCCGCTTGCAAGCTTTTAAGACCCCAGACACTACTCATTAAACTAAGATGTAGAACATTATTTTTATGAACTATGTATGTCATGGCAACTGACTGAGCTGTCCCACCTGACTACAGTCCTAAGCCTTTTAACCCAGTAAATCAATCCCACGAGATGTTTGGCTATGTCTAGGAAGTCTCCGTAACTGTGCCCCCTTATCTCCATTACTTTTTTTTCCAGAAGAAATACATCATACAGTCAAACAGCTTATACTTTTGAAACACTAACAGTCATAAGACCACAAAAATAGCTGAAACTGACATTATGCACTTATTCTGTTTAAATTAGGCTACGAAACCATCCTCCTCAAGTGATTCAGAACTTCAAAAGCAAAAGGCTCTCATCTTTAAAAAATCTAATAATTGCTTTAGTATCATTTATTAATGTAAAGACGGGATCCTAATCATTGTTTTGGTATAATACAAAGGTCGCCATTGTAATACATCACACACAGGAGAACAGAAACATGTTTGATTAGTATAGTTTTATAGTATTTCTAAATTTAAAGCATTCTCATCTATTCATCTACTCAAGTTAGGTATAGATAATTTTAAACAGACAAAACCCACCAATTTTCAGGAAATATAAGGCACAGAATACCCTGGTAAATAATACCACCTGGAATCAAACCGCAGTCCCGACGGTGGAAACAAAACAGAACAAATAACCTGGCTTCTTCAATGAAAATTAAAGGAAGGAAAGAAAAAAATAGATAGGGACCTATAAGTCAGAAGAGATATAAGAGACACATTAATGTACTGTGTGTCTTTACAACACATGTGTCAGAATGTGTGCACCTTATTTGAATCTAAAGCCATCAAACAAACAAAAAAATATAATTGGGGAAAATGTGTAAGTACGATAATAACATTGTAGCTGTATTTAAAAAAATAGAAAAAGAACTCCTATCTTTACAAGTTATGTACAGAAATATTCATAGATGGAGCTCAGATTATAAGGGTAGGAATACAGAGGAAACAAGATTGGAAATAAACTGATAATTGTTGGTGCTGATAGCTGTATGAGGATCACTGTATTACTCTTTCTACTTTTGTATATGTTTGAAATTGTCTATGTTTCAACAGAAATTCCGTATTGCAAACTGAATACAAAGATAACCTATGAAGACATATTCTGCTTTACAGAATAAAGTTTGGCGGGAATACACAAAAATGTTAAAAAGTACTTGACTCTGTATGATGTAATATAACTACTTGCCTATACTTTATACACATACTAAAAATTAAGGTCAAGAAATAAGCTTCCCTGAAATTTAACAATATTTGAGATATTTACCTGATGCTATAACATTAGCCACATTTTATAAAGATATTTGGTACTTTTCTCAAATTTTCCCACACCAAAAACTGTTCTCTATAAAGAATACTTCAGAAGTACCTTTCAACAGGAAACTGAATCATAGCAATCACTGAGCATGAACTAGGTATGGAAAACAATTATTTCAAATGTTTAATCAAATATGAGGGCTTTAATTATGATAATTATTTTATAATTATATAATTTTATAAATGTTACTCCTACCACTTTATGCAGTATATCTAAAAACTGAAAGAATTAAAAACAATGTTCAATTGATACATAGGTATGTGTACATTATGACTGGTTAAATTAGCTACTGGGCATAAAAATATGGGGGAAAAAAAAAAAACCCACTGCTGTCAAGTTGATTCCGACCCATAGTGACCTATAGATCAGAGTAGAACTGTCCCACAGAGTTTCCAAGGACAGTCTGGTGGATTTGAACTGCCTATCTTTTGGTTAGCAGATGTAGTTCTTAACCACTACACCACCAGGGTTTCCAAAAACATGAAAGGAAGCTTAAAATAATTTCCTAGAAAATGATACAAGGCACCCCAAATGAGGGTGAAAGTGTGAGTCTGTGCATACATGCACATGTTGGGAATGTAGAGTGTCTAAGAATTAAACCTCACTTCTATAATAAAAAAAAACAAACAAACCTGTTGCCATCAAGTCGATTCCGACTCATAGTGACCCTTAGGACAGAGGAGAACTGTCCAATAAAGTTTCCAAGGAGCAGCTGATGGATTTGAACTGCCAATCTTTTGGTTAGCAGCCATAGCTCGCCGTAGCTCTTAACTACTGCCCCACCAGGGCTCCTCTATAATAGGGAAGTCAATTAAAATACAAACCATAAAGTTGAAATGAAGGATGTTATTTAGATATATAAGCCATATGGACCTTATATTGTTTTTAGTGTTTCTGCTCTATCTCCTACTTGTTTGTGTAGTGCAAACAGTCACGAGGGCACAAAAATCAGTCTCTATTTGCCGAAAGCAGCAGAGGAAGAAGGAAAGTCGGGAATCAGAGGAGGAACTGCAATGCATGTCTAACTGCCTCCTCTGTCATGCGATCAGAAGAACTGGATGATACCAGGCTACCATTACTGAACATTTTGATCAAAGAACCTGTAAAAGAATCCTGGACAACAGGGGAGAAATGTGAAACAGAATTTCAAATTTTCATGGAATTCAGTCATTCTGGAGCTACTGAGGTTGGATGATTCCCTGAAACTTGCTCTGATGCAATCTTTAAACTTTAAACCAGAACTATCCCCTGAAGCCATCTTTAAACCAAGCAATAGTTTAACTTAATTAGTAAAGACTGTCTGCCTTGAGCATTGTGCTCTTTTAAAGATTACCTACATGGGATCAATTTGACAATAGCAACTCGAAAGGTCAGATGAGAACCTTAGGAGGCAGTGAGTTTATCTTAACAGTAGTGGAATAATTTGGAAAAGGACAGTGAGAATGGATGTAAAACTTAAAGAATATAATCAATGTCATTGAATTGTACATGTAGAATTTGCTTAATTTGTTTATGTAACCTCCCCCCACCCCCGAAATACATGCTATATGGAACAGGTAAACAGTTAAAAATCTGGAATAGGAAAGGGTCAGGCAAAGTACTGTTATTCTTTGTTATAAGCTCTGCATTATTGTTGGTTTAAAACCATGTACTTAGTTTACTTGTATAAACATTAAATTAAAAAAAGTGTACACCAATGGAAAATGTCTCACCAATAGTCATAGCTCTCATCCCAGTTGTCAAAATGCACCAGGAAACGATTGTCCACCATATCTGTTACCGTAGCAACACAGATGAATGAAGGGTTCTTTTTGTCTACAGCTTCAAGCTTCATTCCAACTCGAAAGCCTGATGGGATCACTGTCTACAAAAACACACAGATTTAATTAGAAATGAGCACACACTTAACAGCAAGATGTCCACCCTCCCTGTACCTCCTGCTCAAAGCCCTGCATCCATCACTGTATTCATATAATTTAAAAATTGTGTGCCAATTTCACAGCACGGTCACTTTCCAACAAGAAACAATAAAACAAATGCCCTACTGCTACACCCAATCAACTATCTGGGCTCAAAACTAAAACATTCACAACCTCACAAAGTTCAAAATAATTAATTTAAGCATGTTTTCGTACCTTAGAAGACTATACTAGTTAGCCAAGTTTTATCCACCACATATTTCACTTTTTCCCCTTCATTTCCTTGATTATAGACTTAACAATGAAAATCACTTCAAACAAAATATGCACTTAATCAGGTTAAAAATGTGCATGAGTCAGTATTACAAATTCACTCCCATTTCTGAAAAGATCTCTCAAAGACTGCTCTACTGAAAGTAGGTCATCTTCGTATAGGAAAGGCTGCAACTTATTACTTCAACTTTTACTTAACATTACAGACACTTCTTATTCACAATAGCAGCAAAAAAAAAAAAAAAAAAAAACAAAACCCAACTGTTTATATATACAGCCATTCAAAAAAATAGTCTGTAATTTAAGGAAATCCACAGATTATCAGTCACTTGGAACTGAAACAATAAAAGTTCAATAAGGGTTAGTGTTTGAGGTACAATAAAATCTGAACTTTCCTTATAATCTTTTATGAGGCAAAATATCCTAATCTAAGAGTAGTAGACTTGGGTAGCGATTATTCTGATCCTAATTCATTACAAATTATGTCTACCCTTCTTAAAAAAATCCTGCTGTTCAGACTGACGTATACAGACGCTATTCTAACTACCTTAAGCAAACAGATGTTATCTGTTTAACTGTAATTATACAATTACGAATGCATAAGTCAGACTAAGTCCTATCTGAATTGAAGGAATAGGCACTAATGCTACCCAGAAATCTTCACTATACGTATAAATCCTGAAATTACCTATCAAAGTTCTGACCATCAATATTTGAGTATCTGGAGATAGACACACCTAGAAATAGAAAATTAACTGCCTCTTGGATACTGAACTCACAGCCCAAGATTAAGTTGTATGCTAGTAATGCAGAGAATTTAAGAAGACGGTTCAAGGCAGGTAATCAAATCCCTGATGGAACTCATCATCAGAGAACCAAACAGGGATTAGGAAACTTAGAGCAGCAACAGCAGGCTGCTACATTTCCACCTAACTGACCCTCCTCCCTGGGGTGAAACTCGACAAAGAAGACCTGCTGACGACGCAGAATTTATATTTCAGAAATTAAGCTATCCTCTCAATTAAGGTATTTTAAAATAATAATCTAGCACATTATCTCCATTAATAAAGCACATGCAAGCGTGCGCACACACGCACTCCTCTTCAGTTCTCTAATTCAATTGTTGTTTATGGTCAATTTGATCAGGGAACGCACCTGTCGGACTGATGTCCTCCCAACAACTGGTTAATATAGTTTTCCCAATGGAGGGTATATGGAGTGAGAGAGATGGTTTTTCCCCACTCCTGGTATTTATTTCCATTTGGAGGGAAATGCACTAGTGAAACATTTCTGGCCTCTTGCCACCCTCTCACTCACTGTTAACCTGACTGATAAATGTGACGGGAGGAACTGGTCAACAGTCTTGAGGTAAACTGGCCTGCAAGGCATGTGATTTCTACTCTGCTACTTTTAGGAGGGCAGGTCTGCCACAGTCCAGAGCTCCTTGGGCGTGGTGTGGGGGCCATGGAGAGAAGGGGACAGAAAATCTCTTAAACTCTTGGGCTCAGAATCAAGAAGCTCACTTTTCTGCAGATACAGGCCATGTTTTCTAACCTAGCCCTTTTGAGTTAAACAGATGATATTTTAGTTTTTCATCCACTTGGTTTCTTTTCTTCATTCCAATTAGATCAGAATCTGGGCAAAGAACTGTAACTTGTTGGGTCCCCTCAGAGATACCAACAGAGGAACATGTAATGGAAAGTAGGAATACAGCCCAAGAAACAGAAAATACATATATATCCAGACTTTGCTTCTGTTACACTGCAAAATAAAGCTGTAAGCTGGAGTGAAGGTTAATCATAGTCTCTAGCTATGTCTTGGATGTAAATCTAAATAGGTCTACATTTATTTCACTGAGTGAATCACATATAAACAACAGTCTTCAATAGGTGACAATAAAATATCCCAGAAAACTTACTGTTTATGTACCTTAATTGTAAATTAGACCTAGGTTTTGCATTATGCTACCTCCCACCATTCAATAAAAAAAGATAAAACCATGACACGGCTATAGGAAAGATATTTATTCATGAGGATTTTAAACTAATTTTAAAGTATAATTAATAGAAGATTCAAAGGCATCAATCACTAGAATTTAAAGGTATCAATTCTTCTTCGGTCTTCCTTATTCATTGTCCAGCTTTCAAATGCATTTGAAGCAACTGAAAATACCGTGGCTTGAGTCAGGTGTACCTTAGCCCTCAAGGTGACATCTTTGCTTTTTAACACTTTAAAGAAGTCTTTCGCAGCAGATCTGCAAATCTGCATTATGTCATCTTATGTCTTCAAATTCTGGTGTTGGCATATACCATGCACTGCCAGAAGAACAAACAAATCTGTCTGGGAAGAAGTACAGCCAGATGCTTGCTCCTTAGAAGTGAGGACGGCGAGACTTTGTCTCACATACTTTGGACATGTTATCAGGAGGGACCAGTCCCTAGAGAAGGACATCATGCTTGCTAAAGTAGAGAGGGTCCGTGAAAAAGAGGAAGACCCTTAATAAGACAGAGTGACACAGTGGTTCCAACAATGTTCTCAAACACAGCAACAATTGTGAGGATGGCACAGGACCAGTCAGTGTTTTGTTCTGTTGTACACAGGGTCACCGTGAGTTGGAACCCACTCGTTGGCACCTAACAACAACAAGACTATTCTATTTACCAAAGCAATAAAATATATTACAGTTCCTTGTTATCACCTGTAATTTATCCGACAAAGCACTCACAAATCACCTCCTTTGAAAGACAGAGTATTTTGCATATACTTACTATGTTCTGATTTTCAAATAATGACTTGGGAGCAGCTTGAGCTTTGCATGTCTTAAGATAGGTCTGCCAATTAAATTCATCTTCTTTATATCCTAGAGGAAGCACACAGCAAGAGACTTAGAGAAATATCAAAGCATTTTAGACTTCGTTTTCCACTCCCACTTTTATCTGTTAACTCCTACATGTACATCTCCAAATCAGGCCACCAAGTGATTTTTTTTTTTTTAAATAATCAAAGTATAACTTATTGTTTAGTTTTGATTATAGTTTTACATATGGGATCTTATTTTTAATAAATTGTACTATTTTTTTCAATTCTGAATGAATAATAATGGATATTAAGAAAATGAGTAAGAAAGCAAATACATAGTACACCTAGGCACACTTGTTTTTAATACCAAGCTATTTCTATCAGTATTTAGGTAGAATTCCTCAGCAGTAAACTAGTGAACTAGAGTAGTCAAATTCTTTATTTTTCCTTCATATGTTCTGTTTTGAGAGACTAGCTTGCAGAAACAAGTGGGAAGTTGGGGGGGGGCGGGAAACAGTAGTAAACAGATAAAATCTTTTTTTATCACTGCCAGAATGGCAAATCAAGGATTATGAAGTAAGCACGGTGGCAAATTACAATAAGGGAAATGTCCTTGTCTTAATTTTCAGAGTATCATTAAAGCCAACATTTCCTTATAAAAGGAATTTGAGCATTTTATTTAATCTGCGAATGTGCTCGCTTCTTCCACTAAAGTCCAAAAGGTCGCATGGAAAGAACAGTCAATAACTCACAACATATGAGTTCAATTTATAGAAAGGCTCACAGCTTTCCTTTTTTCACCCTCATCTTTCCTATGTGTTTTTATTTAATCCTTGGGCCCTCTGCAAACATCATTCTACCATTAATTTTTCACTCAGAGACCAAGGGATAGCTAGCTCATTAAAAAACAATATCCCTGACATAGGCCAAAAACTATCAAACTAGTAACCTAATTTTGTTTACATCAAGAAAACAGCCATACTGTATACACTAAGTTAAAAATGAAGAAGTTCAGATAGTATTAAACATATCAGTGATAGACTGAAAAAGATGGTATTGGTTATTCTAGTGTTATAGTCTCCTTTCCAAAGTCCTAAATATTAAGATTAGTAAATTAAATACATTACTTGTCAGGATTTTCTATATACTTAAATACCAGTAAACAAACTGTTCAAAAGCAATAATTTTTTTAAGTAAGTTTTTTCAAGGATATATATGTAAAATAAAAACAAAAATCTGTGGCTAAATGTTATTTGTAACAAAAATTAAATATCATGCAAATGTTTTATATGCAAATATATAAACACAGTTTATTCTCTTAAGTAGAAGTCTACTTTTTAAATTTCTTTCACTTTCATAAACTTTTTTTTTTTTCCTTTATGAACAATAAGCTTGAATTTGGGCCCATCTGAATTATCACAGAATCTGAATTTTTAAAAATTCTAAATTAGCATGTAAGAAAACTAGTTTTTACTGAATTCAAAATATAAAACAAAAAAGTGACAACACCTTTTGGTGGATGAAGTTTATGGCCAGTTTTCTCACACCACCCAACTGGGTGAATATCCAGAGCATCTGCATTTACCCAGAAGTCATAGCAATCAGAATACCCATCAAAGTGGAGCTTTATCCGGTATCCACAAACCTGCAATAGGTAAAGCAGGTTGATTAATTAAAGAAAACGAAACAGAATATTCATGTACATAAACAAAATATAGTAACATGAGTATCAGGTATGATACAACCTATGTTAACCAAATCACCTGCCTTAAAAGCAGCAAAACCAACCAAATTACAAAATCTAAAAGCAAAGGCCATTATATTGGGAAGAGCTGAGCTACAGTATTCTAGCAACATCCCCAGCTACATTAGAAGCACACAGATATGTGGCAAAGAATAGTTTTCCCACAGACACATCCTCTCCATTCCCTTTACTGAAACAACTTGTGTCACACCAAGGACAGCCAGCAAAGAAACAGCCAGACCAGCACACTGCAGACAGCTCCAGCAAGGTCCCCGAGTGGACGCTCTGCTGGCCACTGTCTGAATGCCAGCTCTCTGTCCTTTTATAAACTCAGCACCTGGCGGTCTATTTGTCCAGACCAAGGCTGGTGGAGAGATGGAGAGAGGCTAACAGAGTCTCCTCTCTACAAGTAGCTGGGTTTGGAGAAAGAAAGAACAGAAAAGAAAGAAAGAAAAGGTCTCCCCCAATCTCTTAGAGAGAAGGCTTAGCCTGTGAATCTTCCTCCTACTAGCCTCAATGCCAGCACAGCAGATGTGTTCAAGTGGAAGCACACACATCAGACCTCTAAGCACTCCTCGAGCACCTATATTGCAGAAGCCTGGGAAGATGCTTGAGACTAGAGCACAGAGCCAGAGCAATTAATAATGCAAAAATAATGGGGCAGCTGCACTGCTACTGTCATGGAAAGCTCTCTACATTGTTAAAATTCAAGTGGCAGAACAAACTGTATTGTACAGGTCAGTTTATGAGAAAAATGTACATGAGTCCATATGTGTATTTCTGCATCTGTATATATATATACATATATATGTATATAGTTATACAAATAAACATGTATTTATACACACATATTTACACATGCACATATATGTACACATATATACATGTATGTTTACATATAATGTGTGTACATTTATATATACATACATACATTAAAAAAAAATCTGGAAGGATATAGGCCAAACTATTAACAATGACTTATTTTGGGAAGTGGCAGTGAGATAAGAGGGACAAAGATGGAATGACAAACTTTTTACACTGTATCTCATATATTATTCTTTCAGTTAGAATGTATGATGTGTATTACTTACATAAAATTCACAATTACTTTTAAAATTTAGGGGGAAAAAAATAGCTGACTCCCCCAGAATCTAGAGTCTCTCTGTTGGGAAAATCCTTGGGAACCGCAGTCTCTCAAGAAGGGGAGGTGGCTGTCCGATGTTCCATCTCTACCCCATGCCAAACGGAAGCTGGCTGCTTCTCTTGCAAGCCTTACAGCTAGCCAATTCTACCCTGCCTTTTACACAGGTATCTCTGGTCAATGCCTACAAAATAAGCCCATTCAGTAATTTATCCCTCTAGTCTCCTTGTGGTCATACTGCTCTGACCTTCTGTTTCCTTGAATCAATCTCTCTCTGCATTCCCCCCCACCCCACTCTCTCTACTATGCCTTATGCTCTCCAGAACTCTATACTTTGGTGAATAATCTGCTACAACTTTGACTTCCTTGCCCAGACATACCTGGCTTGTCCCTCTCAAGCCTTCCCTCAAGTGGAGGCTGCTCATTCTCCCACACCTATCCCCCAGAGGACTGAGGAGGGCTTACTCCAAGGACTGTTCTCGGCTCTGCTCCACTTGAGGCCATGCCACGTGGCTGCACTATCTCTCCTGCTCAACATCCCACATGCTAACCTTCCAAACGTCCTCGCTCACTCATGAAACACTTAAGCCCTGCTTGCCCTCTTGCTTTCCATCCTGAGTAGTGTCATCACGGGCAAGGATGACTCACCCAATGCCCTGACTTCTTTGCTCCCTCATTTCCTCTCCACTTCAAATATACACTCACATGGATCTTATCCCCATCAGGAGCTGCTTGCCTTGTAAGTATTAAACAAAAACATCCAGCCCGATGAAGACATCATTCTTTTCTTCCAGTTTTGCTAACCCAGTGACTCCCAATACACCTCTTCTTCAACCTCAGTGAAAATTCTAGTATCTCAAATTTATCCTTCTACTTTCTCCTTATCAGCTTCCCTCACCCTAAATCATCCTTCTCTAGTAATTTCTTAAACATTTAACAACATTTCTAGATTTCTGTCCTGATGTCCTTTCCAAAGGAGCCCTGGTAACACAGTGGTTAAGTGATATGGCTGCTAACCAAAAGGTCAGTAGTTTGAATCCACCAGCAGCTCCTTGGAAACCCTATGGGGCAGGTCTACTCTGTCCTACAGGTTCACTATGAGTTGGAATCACCTCAACAACAATAGGTTTTTCGGTCCTTTTCAAAACATGTGACTGGCAAAATCCCATCAACACACGTATCCACCTATGCTGCACTTGTCTACTGAAGAGTGCTAAGAAAGAAAACACTATGTACTGGGCTCTCCATCCTACATGTCTGTTATGGACTGAATTATGTCCCCCCAAAATATGTGTTGTAAATTCTAACCTGTAAACCTGTAGTTATAATCCATTTGGAAATGGGTTGTCTTTGTTATGTTAATGATATGATTAGTGTAGGGTGTGTCTTGAGTCAATAGCTTACAAAATATAAAAGGAGTAGTTTAAGGAAACAGAAATGGGGAAAGAAAGATGCCAAGCTACATGAAGATTGCCTAGGAGAGACAAGAACCTTCTTCCAGAGGCAACAGAGAGATAAAGCCTTCCCCTAGAGCTGGCAACCTAAATTCGGACTTCTAGCCTCCTAAACTGTGAGAAAATAAATTTGTTTGTTAAAGCCACTCACTTGTGGTACTTCTGTTATAGCAACACTAGATAACTAAGCCTGAATTTGGTACTGAGAGTGATTCTAGAGGAACAAAATTGTAAGCATGAGTTTTCTGAATTGGTTCTTAGGTCCAGCTAGTCTTAAGGGTGCTGATGCCTCTGTCTCCAGTAGTAAAGAGAGCACTGTTAATCCATGGCATGAGGTGGCAATAGAAAGACACAAAATACTACCACCAAGGCTCTGGGTGACTGCATATTTGATACTTTTTTACAATACTGTCAGAGTGAGAATCTGGCTAGTTGATCCTACTTTCACTAGACAAAGTAGTGAAAGAAAGGGGCAAGCTCAAAGCTTCAGAGTCACAGCTGAAACACCACATACAAGACCTGAAAATTGCCACTTGTGCCCTAAAAGAAAGCCTGATTTCTTGCAGTAATAGAGCTGATATTGCTGAAAACCAAACTCAGAGTCTTACTGTAAGAGTGGCTGAATTACAATGCCAACTGAATTGGAATCCTGAAACTTGGGATGGGGACATATAGGCAGACAATCAAGAAGCTGGGGACACTTAGTCCCTAAATTCTGTTGAATAACTTCTGCCAACAGACAGCCCTCTAACTCCCATCTGAAAAGATTACTCCATCTTTGTCTGCTAAGCCACCCTCCCCAGTAAAATCATTGTCCCTTCTACCCCCATCTGATGAGATTAACCCAGCTGTGCCTGAAGAGTCTTTGTCTGATATGTCACCTGGGGCAGCACTGAGGCAGATGCCTTATAAGACATTGCTGATGTACCCAGAACCCAATCCCACCACCTGTTTTTGCTTCTAAATCTGTAACTAGACTTAAGTCTGAGTGAGCCCCAAGAGGTGAAATAAAAAATATGACCCAGGAGGAGGTACCTACACTCCAAAAGCACTGCTTGATTTTTCTAATATACACAAACAGAAACCTGGGGAATATGTATGGGAATAGATACTAAAGGTGTGGGCTAATGGTGCAAGGAAAATAAAGTTGGACCAGTCTGAGTTTATTGATAGGGGCCCACTAATCACAGAATCTTCATTCAATGCTGCAGCTCAAGAAGTTAGAAAAGGATCTAATAGTTTATTGAGTTGGTCTAGTGAAGCACAGATTAAACGGTAGCCTACATTAAATCAAGCTGAAATGCCAGACCTACCTTGGTATGCTGTAGAAGAAGGTATCCAAAGGCTTAGGGAAACTGGCATGTTAGAGAGGATTTATCAGGTTGGAATCACAGACCCACCCATGCAGTGCCCAGAGAACACACCTTTTACCACAAAGGTGAGGTACAAATTTGTGAAGGGAGGCCAAGCATCCTTGAAGATTGCCGATTGCTATTTTATGTAAGTCATATTTGACAGTAGGAACTTCCCTAACTGAATCAAGGCACCTAACTACCATTGGGTTGATTGTACCCCGTGGTGGCAGGGGCCAAGTGGCAGCATTTAACAAAAGACAAGGTACAGTGATTATCATAATGGACAGAAGAGTCAAAAGCAGTAATCAGCATAGACTGACTCGTGTGGAAATATGGCATTGGCTACTTAGTCATGGTGTCCATAGAAGTAAAACAGACGGGAAATCTAATAAATATTTACCTGATCTGTGCAAGCAGAAGGATTCTAAGTCAGGTCAGTGGCAGTCTAACTTGAATTACCAGAATAGAGTCACGGCCCCTCAAACAACTCCCAGACGTGAGCCAGTTTACAGACCCACAATTCCTTGAATGAAATGGAGGCCAAGTCCCCTTGAGGAAGGACCCCATTACATTATCAAAAATTTATACTGTCCCAGTCTTCCCCAAAGGGATCTATGACCTTTTATGCGAATGCTTGTTCACTGTGGAAAAGGAAATAATCATACTTTTCAGGGATTACTGGATACTGGCTCTGAACTGACATTAATTCCAGGAGATGCAAAATTGTCACTGTGGCTTAACAGTTAGAGGTGGGGGTGTATGATGGTCAGGTTATTAATGGAGTCTTAGCTCATGTCTGTCTCACAGTAGGTCCAGTGGACCCAGCAACCCATTCTGTAATGATCTCTCCAGTTCAGGAATGCATAATTGGAATAGATATACTCAGCAACTAGCAGAACCCCCACACTGGATCCCTGAAAAATGGAGTAAGGGCTATATTAAGTTAGGAAA